GCTTTTGCACACAACCCCCTCCCCCGTCTCCCTCCCTCTGCTTTCCAGCCATTGCCGCAGCTCATAACTTTTCTTAACAACAAAAAGTTTTTTAAAAGTCTCCCCTATTCTTTTAGTGGGACATGAGCGGTCACTCCGCGCCCCGCCCTCCCCTCTTCTCTTCTATTTTGGAAACCCTGCAGATGGAAACAGCTCTCCGCTGCCCCGTTCTTAATGCCTCTGCTACTGGAGTCGTCCCTCTCCCACCTCACCCTCCCTCCCCCTACCCCCTTCAAACACTTTCCAAAAATCCCACTCAATTTGCAAGGAGCCCCTCCTGTCCACTCCCCGACACTGCGCCCACCTATTTCCAGGAGCCTCCCTCCTCCGCCCCCTTCCGGCTAAGGGGGTCCTCTAGCCTGGCTTTCTCTCCCCGCCCTCCACCCCAACTCCGGGAGTGCAGAGCTACGGGAAAGCCGAAAGCGCGCAGTTCCTGGGAGAGAGAAGCAAACTTCGCTTCCCACTCCAGCACCCATTTGGGATTGCAGTTCATCAGGCTGCCCCCCTCGTCTTGCTGAGCTCGGCGTTGTGCAGGTGCGGGTACTGGTCGGCCAGCTTCCTGCGCGCCGCCTGCGCCCACACCATGAAGGCGTTCATGGGCCGCTTGACGTGCGGCTTGTTCTTGCTGGAGCCGTTGACGCGCACGGGCATGGGCACCAGCGTCCAGTCGTAGCCCTTGAGCACCTGGCTGACGGCCTCGCGGATGCACACGGGGAACTTGTCCTCCTCGCTCTCCTTCTTCAGGTCCGGCTCGCCCTTGGGGAACGTGTTCTCCTGGGGCCTCGTGTTTTCGGTGTCGGAGCCGGAGCCCGAAGGGCAGGGCGAGCCCGCAGAGTCCTCGGACATGGTGGGGCTGGGGGCGCCGGACAGGCCCTTCTCCTGCTCTTCGGTCATCTTCATGAAGGGGTCCAGGAGATTCATGCGCAGGCCCGGGGGAGGGGGCGGGTGGCCGGGAAAGGCGAGAAGCCGCGGCGGCT